GCATGAGTTCAATCCCCACCTGCCCCGGAGGTGACTCACATGGTGCAGCAGACCTCTCCTGACCTGCCTGCTGCTTCCCTCATCAGTGCACTTGGTCGATCTGCCTGTTCTACTCCTCACTCCATCTCTGGTGAACCTTCTCACCACCCCTGCAACTCTGGCCTGTACCCCAGTTCTATATGCATAAATAAATTTTTTTATGTAAATTTAAGAGAAGTTACCTACATTGTACTGTGGGGCAAAGGAGACTTTCCATCTCCTGGATCCTGTGATGCAAGAAGGCTCTGAATTCTGAATTGGAATCCACTTTCTTTAAGTAAACACATCTACAATAGCCAAGATTATATATATGAAATAGCAGTCAGTTGTTTACTACCACTTTATGGAAAACATTTTTCCTGACTGTAAATATACCTCACATTTATCATAAGTTAGGTGTATGGAGAAAGTATAAAAAAGATATAAATATCCCCAATTTCCAGGACACACACACAAAAAACTGTCTCTATGTAGCTGGTACATGCCCAACCCTTTTAGCTCTGTTACAAACAAGTAGCATGGACATACAGTTCAACATCAATGTAATCGATGATTCACATTTATATTCTCAAATCATATTTCTGAACAGTCTTGGATCACAGGATGCAGGAGACTTTCCATTTCTAGACCAAGAAGACTTGGTGTAAGATTCAGGAAATGAATCTCCCACTCTCCTCTCCAAGAAGGTCCTCATATTCTAAGTCAGTGCTACACATTAGAATCACCTAAGGGATGTTCAAAAATCCTGAGGTCCAGGCCACACCCTGGGGTGGAGCCCAAATATCAGGATTTCTAAAGCCCCCAGGTGATTCTAATGAGCAGCTAAGGTGAGACTTGCTAATAAATTATGTCACTTTGAAAACCTCTATGAAAGCAACATTCACGGAGCAAGGTGTGGCTCAGATGTCTTCAAAAATAATTATCCCTATTGAGTTCTTCTTTTCAGGATGCTATTGTTTTGGCATTAAAATCCTGAATGAAGGAAGACATGCTTCTACT